CATCGCGTGGCTCCTCTTGCGACAGGTATAATTTGACGGTACCGTAAATACCATAATAATCCAATAGACGATTTTTAAAAATATATACTTATCTCTAGTTTAACATATTCATATTGTACACGTTCAGCTTTTAAAGACGCACAACGGCGGTGCGCATGTTCAGAGTTTCTAGCACGAGTAAAGTGTTTTGTTTATGAAGAATGATAAGACTTTTTCAAAAATATTTCGTTGTCATATCTTTAACAAAATTCCAGAGAATACCACGCGCTGATCTCACAGTGATCAAAATACAAGTCACCGTCAGAAAAACTTTACTGCGGGCCGACATCCAGACAGCTGTAGAGACAACAAAAAAAGGTGTTTTTGATTGTTTTTTAAAGAAATTATATCATTGCATAAGAATTTTTGGTGATTAATGTTTTCCACTTTCAATTGCAAAAAGAATATATATATGCTTAATGTTAAAGTTTGCATGAAAATTACCGTATCATAAGATAGAATGGAGAGGTTTAGTACAAGACCGTTTGAAATGCATCACTTTTGGAGAATGTAAGGTATGTAAGTGACACGCGTCGAACAGATAAATTTGCACCTGAAATCGTTCAATAGAAATCAAAACAGGAGGTGCATACCTGTTAACCGATATAGTGCCTCATCGAGACGACTAAAGTAAATATATCATCTGTAAGTCGTTGCTAGGAATCCTCATACAATACCCATAGGACAGGTGGCTGCCATTTTTTGGGATAATTTATAGACTCTAATCCACGATTCTTTGATCGGAGATTAAATATACCAATAATATTTTTTATCTGTTAGGACTTTGAAAGTATTTAAGAACGCCGAATAAAATTGTTAAAACTTATGATTTACCTCAATGCTTAAATCTCGAGACATACACATGTACACGAAAAACCTTTGTATTTAAGAGTTTCCGAACTTTTAAGTGTTGTATCTTACAACAGACAGCTATATTTTTCATGTGTCTGAAAGAATCAGATTGAATAAATTACTGAAATATTTTCTGGCACAGTCTTTAAAACTTGAATTCGGTGAATACCATTCATACGACCAGTGTAAACTTTACGTTTTCTGACATCGCGACTATAGACTTCTAGTGAACATGTAGAAAATAATCTAACAATATTGTCTTACAAGCCTCAAACTCAAAACTTTAACAGCACAACATGTGTGCACAATTGAGCAAATTGTTAAAGACAAACTGCCGAGACAACAAGAAGCATTTGGTATACGACTCGTAAACCAAACTAGGTATATACCTATTGGACAACTGTATATGGTGTCGTTTGTATGTAAATATAGTAGGTACTTATGATATTACTCACGGTTATGAAACACACTCCCATAAACCACTTCAGCACTGTTTTATGTTTACTTTGGGTCTCCGTCAATAACTTTCAAATAAGAAAACGGGAATTATGACACGGCCATACTAATCATGTAAACAAAATAGGGCTATAAATCCGGTTTCCTAATTTTCACCTGGTATTGTTAGCTTTTGACAAATTGTGAATTCATATAAAAACTTCATTGCTAATATTGTAGAGTGAAACTGAATGTTTGTTTCTCCACATTAATTTGACTAGATTTAATAAAGTTTGTCTTGTGTCCTTTTTAAAAAAAAATAATTAAAAAATATGAACATTTGAATTGGTAATGAAGAATTTGCTTACGAAGTAAAAAATGAAACAGAAAAATACCTTGAAAATAGAAAATATTATTTTTTACGAGGCATTAATTTTCTGCCCGACTGACCAAAATTACTAGCAGCATGAAATTATTTAACAATCTCATTTTATCTGCTGTTCCTTTAATACTTTAACCGATATTGGAAGTCCTTTGTTTTCAAATGGGTTACTCCCATTTGGTTCTCAAGTAAGAGAATGTTAAGTATAAATGCACGTGCTGGTAAGGTGACATGGGTTTGTTATGCAGAGCTGCCTACAAAGTTTGGCTGCAGAAGGATTTTTTTCCCGTAGCACAGTCGACATGTTAAGGACAACGTTTCTACAGCAAAGTTTCATTGAAATAGACGACATGTCAAGGACAACGTTTCTACAGCAAAGTTTCATTGAAATAGACGACATGTCAAGGACAACGTTTCTACAGCAAAGTTTCATTCAAGCAGACGACATGTTAAGGACAACGTTTCTACAGCAAAGTTTCATTGAAATAGACGACATGTTAAGGACAACGTTTCTACAACAAAGTTTCATTGAAATAGACGACATGTTAAGGACAACGTTTCTACAGCAAAATTTCATTGAAATAGACGACATGTCAAGGACAACGTTTCTACAGCAAAGTTTCATTGAAATAGACGACATGTCAAGGACAACGTTTCTACAGCAAAATTTCATTGAAATAGACGACATGTCAAGGACAACGTTTCTACAGCAAAGTTTCATTGAAATAGACGACATGTTAAGGACAACGTTTCTACAGCAAAGTTTCATTGAAATAGACGATATGTTAAGGACAACGTTTCTACAGCAAAATTTCATTCAAGCAGACGACATGTCAATGACAACGTTTCTTAACATGGAGCAGATGATATGTCTTAACATGGAGCAGATGATATGTCTTAACATGGAGAATACGACATGTCTTAACATGGAGCATAACGACATGTCTTAACATGGAGCAGATGCTTTGTCTTAATGTGGAGCATGTCGACATGTCTTTATGTGGAGCAGATGCTATGTCTTAATGTGGAGCATGTCGGCATGTCTTTATGTGGAGCATGACGACATGTCTTAATGTGGAGCAGATGCTATGTCTTAATGTGGAGCATGTCGACATGTCTTAACGTGCAGCATGACGACATGTCTTAACGTGGAGCATGTCGACATGTCTTAATTCGGAGTAGATGATATGGTATATTTGTACATATTTATATAACTTGTGCCCAATCCCGCTGAAAAATAAATGCAATTTAGACATGTTTAAATAAAAAGAAATGTATTACAGAAGTCGCCCAACCAGACTATAGAGTCGGTCTAGACATACCATGAGCTCCGTCTCCACTCAGTCTTCATAGCTGTCTTTGAAAGTGTATCGCCCGTGAAGATTCTGACAGCTCCAGAGTTCGTGAGAGGACTAAGAACAACGTTACTTTTTACATTTAAGGGAGAAAAAAATGGCATGAAAAAATATCTGCAACTGTTGTGAAGTTATCTATATCTACCTAACAAACACACACCGAGCTAGTAAAGAATTTATTTTTGTCTTCGCGATATTTTAAGTTATCTAGCTTCAGTCCTGTTGCTGTTAACAAGTAATTCATTGCTTTTTAGCTAACATGTCATGCCCGATTGTAATGCACGTCAAATATAAAAACCAAAATATCCCATCCATTTCCGTAAATACAGTCAGCGCATTGATTACAGCTAAACCTAGCAACCATATCATGCTAGAGGACAGGTGTTGATTTTTCTACCTGTGCAAGGTATGATGGATCGAATTCAAAACGATATGTCTGTTCCCCCTCCACCAGGGACGTATCAGAGTCTCGATACTATTTCAAGATAGAATTCAGCCTGAATTTTTAACAGATATATCACTGTGTTCAGAAATCTAGTACTAAGGCTTCAGATTCATGGATAAATTTGGAGAATTAATTCCATTTAGAACATCAACAAGTCTGATGGAAGCTATCTAGCGACTGTTATTAATAGTCCTATGGAAAATAATAGCGAGCGTTACGGTACACCATGGCACGCGCGAGACTGTCGTCTAATGGAATGACGCGTTTTCATTGGTTGAGAGGTATGGCGAATGGTTTCGGCAGAGGGGCAGGTGCTACCGCCCGGGGTCATATCAGCCTAAAGCCATATATAGTGGAATCGCTTTTCAAACACCGGTACATCATTAAGAATGCGCTCGTGCATATCGGTTGACAATACGTATACATCCACTTGAAATCTAACGGAACTCTAATTAACAAGGTCTCTAACAACGGAATCCTTCAACCCTGACCGCTTCACAGTTATGACGACAAGATGGATGTATTTTTCTTTTATTCTTTGAATCAGAAGCTTTTTGAGAGACCATGATGATCTAAACACCCCTAAACACCGACTCAAATTTTACGTCAGAATAAAACGTGCAAATAATGTCAAATACGTATCTCTGTTTCTGTTCCCTAACTATACACATGGAGTAAAACCAATATATAATACTGCTTTGAACACATCAATATTTCTTTCTTAAAAAACAACATCTGTATAAACCTGTTACAAGATTTTGCCCCAAGTCACATACTATCCATCTGAGACTAATGCCTATTTGTCTTCGAACTTATTGTTTACTGTCAATATACTTAACGTTTGTATATGATTCATTTAGAAATATAACTTAATAATAAGTAAATTTATATAGAAATGAGAAAAAAAAACAATAAATTGATGAACAATATGTCATTTATTAACAATCAAAGCACATTAACACACAGAAAAAACACACATTCGGTGTTCCCATCATCCCGAAAGGCACACTTTGAGTGTTTCCATTATTCCGAAAGGCACGCTTCGGTGTTTCTGTCCTTCGGAAAGGCACACTTCGGACGTTTCCGTCATTCAACATTAAATGACACGTAATATAAAATATAAATAATTCTCCAACAATTGTTTTTTCTGGACAAAAGCCATTATCGCATTTTCTCATTCAATCTATGAGGAAAGTCAATAAACATATTTTGTTTTTGATTTTGTGTTTAATGGGTGAGAGACAGATTTGATCCTCGGTGTCAAAGGCCACTGGGTAAGTAAGTGACTATATACCCTGTAAATATTTTCCCTGAGTACACACAAGTGTATATAGAGATAATGCTGAGTTAAATCTTCTCAAAAATGAGTCTCAAAATAACTTTCTCAAAACATAACGTCGTCTGAAATGTTCGTTGTAAAAAAAGGTTCGATGGAATGTTCGTCAAAGTTTCCCAACAACAGAAGCTGTCTATTTCCGACTCTGGTGATGGGTCACGTTTCCAGGCCTGAAATTATACAAAATAAAAAATATATATACTAAATAAATAGATATATAAAGCAGTTTGATATGAAAAATTAAAAAAATCTGTTTCGAAGTTTTGAAATAACATATACACTAAGTAGATTTTGTACGTGTAGTATTACACGCCGATTTTCTTTATCGATTTTCAATCTGTGGTGTCATTCAGATTAAATTCAGACTCACTTCCCCGCTATACTATCAAAACAGATCGATATATCGATTTATTTTACCTAATAACACTCTGTCATTCTCCCATAACTATACAGCTCCCCATTTGTCAAAGTTCGCTTCATTTTCCAGTACAATGTACACGATAAATTTCCGGGACAGATTTCCTTTGTGACGAATATTGTCTGGTATCAATGCATTCTGTTGGATTTATGCCCTAGCAAATAAGATACATAGTATATTGAAGACCGCTTATAACATTACATCTGAGATTTTTTGTCACCCGTCTATGGGATACAATACCTAACATCGCACCTGTCTTTTTTCACTGTGCCCTCTGCATTGTCATGTGCTCCTATTGAGAGCGATAGAGTTAATTTCTATCCTAATGCAGTCAGTGTAACTATGCTGAGAGCTAATTTACATAAACATAAAAGACGTGTTTTTTCATGATATTTCAATGTCGAGTTATCTCAATGAATGACATTTTTAATTTATTTCTCACAAATGGGTGTGTTTTATAGAAAAAAAACTCTGATGGTTCTTTATGTCCACTGGCGGTCATTAAAAATTTGACCGCATTGTCCGTCAAGTATGATACACCGACTGCATACCCAGATGACCGGGAGCTGACCCGTTGATACGGCATGCTGAAAAGGATTCACCCAAAAATTGCCCCCTATCCCGGTGTCCCTAACTGATCGGGCTTACCTTAAAGAACCTATGTCCCCGGTACTCAACTCACTTGACCAAAGTAGCCCCCGCAATTTCGAAATAAAATGTGTTGAAAAGAAAAAAGGTAGACTGGATTTTAGGAAAATGTAAAGTGCTTTAGAAAGCGTAATGTCCTACTATGTAACAAGTGGAGAGAAATGAAGTTTGTGTATTGTTTGTTGTCAATATCGTATGCTTCTGTTTTGTGTTCACAGATTACTCGTAATTCATCATCCCCAGTAAAAAGTTCGGTTTAACTGATTATACTTCGATACAAATGGCTGAATTGCTATAAAATACTCAAACAAGACCATAGCAATTAGTCTGAAAATATTTGCCCCCCCCCACACCCCCCCCCCCCCTCCCACCCCGCCCCAACACCTTCATTTTCAGAATGTTATTATACGTATGAAATAAAGACAACACCAAGCAAATATTTTAAACATTTAAAAAGATGATATGAAATTCTTAACACCTGTATAATTATACTTGTTATACAAAAATATTTCATCTCACCTTCAAATCCAATTCCTAGGTTTTGGTACCCGTTTGAAGTTCTACACAACCATTCTGCAATGTCAATAAAAACATTGTCCTCCCTCGTCACTGCACCGTTGTCCGGTTGCAGCTGCAGTGTTTGTCCGGAGGGAGACGTTTCCATCTTCCTCGTGTGGAGACTCTCCGGACTGGTGGTCGTACTGGATACTTGACTGTTACAGCAGACACTGGACACTGGTGATGGACATTCCTGTTTGACTGTTTCGTTTTGAGATTGTTGTCCTATATTGCTACTATTGCCATCCGCACTGGTCACTTCTAAAAGATGCTGCAACTGTTTTATATAGTCCACTGCTGACCGTAGAGTGTCCACTTTGCTGAGTTTCTTGTTTTCAATCCCTGCAGGAACATGGTCTCTTAGAGTTTCATAGCCTAGGTTGATCATTTTCACCCGCCTTCGTTCTCTGGCGTTTCGGCGCGACATGCTGGAAATCTTGCTTCTTTTGCCGCATGATGTTGAATCGGCTTGGCAACTGATTATGTTTTTAGTAACATATTGGCCAGACTCCGAAAATATATGCGGTGCATTTTCAAGTGACCGCAACGCCTGTGCCTGCCCATCATTATGCAATGTATTGGGCTTAATCAGAATATATTGCTGCAATATTTTTGCCGTGTTCATATTTTATCGATCTTGTTTTCAGGAATAACAGATGATCAGTTGTGCTGGTAGCTTTGTCCATAGAGTGATTATCAGGTCGTGTGGCAGTCGCGTGTCTCATTGTCCCCATTGGCTGGGGCGGATCACACCGGGAGCAAAGGTCACGCCTGATTGACAGGCTGGGCTAGCGGGTACGTAGTAATTAAACATGTCGTATACGTGAGGCCACTCCCACAAAGTGTGACCGCCATCGCTGATAGATCAAACAAAGCGTGACACTTCTCAGTTACCAAGTTTTCCACACATAGAGACAAACTTAGACACTGCCAAGGGTGATATACTGCAGTACAAAAATCTTGAGATACCATTCTAAATTAAGTATTGACCAAACAAAACGAAATCGAACCGTTTTTGTTTCATTATGAAATAAGACTTCCTTTCTTTTTACACATATTTTTTTCTATTTTACAAAGGAGTACTTTATCACTTGAAATCAATGTACGACAATACATAGCGTCTCTGAAAGTAGAGTCCTTTACCTGTTGCCTGACAACCCGACCTACACAGGTAAAGCTGTAAAATTCATCTTAGTGGTCCTTCAAAATATGCCATGCTAGTAAATGGTGACAATTTTGATTTTGGAATATTGAATAAATGTTGGTATTCTTTCTGTTTTACCTAGACAAAGTGAGGAGTCTCCACTTTGTATAAAGATAACTCGGATTGGTAGTTGTTTGACCTACCTGTGCAGATATTAGGTGTAGTTTTATCAGCGTACATCTGAGCCTTAAAGGGAACGTTGTATTTTAAATGAACATTACAGGTACATAGCAGAGATGCGTTCAATGTGCGGGATGCGTTCATGCACAAATGAACGCCAGTGAATATTGCTGTAGGACGTATGTTCGTGTTTCACGAAGAGCAAATGTCTGTCATACGTTCATTTTAGTAATTATCAAGACAGTTCACAATCTCTCTCTCTCTCTCTCTCTCTCTCTCTCTCTCTCTCTCTCTCTCTCTCTCTCTCTCTCTCTCTCTCTCTCTCTCTCTGTATGTGTGTGTGTACTTAACATGTCGTCTTGTATTGTTATCATGTATTTTGTCAAACTTTAAGATGAACACAAGTTGGAAAACTTGTGACCCATCCCATTGTATTTGTTACAAGCAAATAGGTTTAAATCAATCAATGACTTTGGTATTATGATGATAAGCATCCTGTTATCCTACTTTGAGTTTTTAACTAGATTTCAACTTAGTATTTTTCATTTCATTTCGTTTTTTCGTCTGGCGGGATATTGCTCTTATGAGAAATTATAGGAATTCTTTTTTCGATGTTTTTTATTATTTTTTTTATAGCTGTGTGATGGTATGTTTGCTGTTTCGCCATATGTTGTTGAAGGTCATTGTTGTCCCTTTCAGATTTACATACATTACAGCTTTGTCGAAGGTGATTATTCAATCATAACAATACATTTTTATCAATGAAAAAAACCCAGTTGTTTTTGTCGTCCCGCCTCTCAATGATATTCAATATTCTCTCGTACCACATCACGACTGATATTTAAGAAACATTTTCCAACTATGACAAAAACCGATGTGTACCCTATAATCCAAAGTTTCTTTGTAGTGTTAAACTTGTTTATCTTAAAAAACAAACATTAAACTTCAAGCATGACTTATAAAACATTTGTTCGAATATTTGTTTGAAAATGTATTGTCCAATACTTTTCTATAATACGAGATAACATCACACATCTCGTCATGTCAATGGAAATAAACCATTTAAAAACATGATACATTCCCACAGGTGAATTTAGGGGAGTTTTCATAGGTACAGTGACGGCAAACATCTGAAGATCACGAGTATTTACTTATTAAATGCTTTACTCCTTATATCTTCAGAAAAATGGTTTCAATGGTAACAATATTGTCACATTTCGAATGTATACAACAACTTTTTATTTGTTTATCTCGATAAATTTACAATACTGTTTAACATAAGATAACATTTTTTTTCTGTTATTGTGATATATGTCAGAGTCCGGTAACTACAAACCCCGACAGCATGCAGCTACTTAGGGCGGGGAGCGACACAGAGTCTTGTGTAAATACAGCTCTTCAACGAGAAGGCCATTGTTACACACCTTCATGTGGTTTACAAAACAAACGTTCAATATTTGGAGAAAGTTTGGGGAGTAAACCCTTGTGGCGACAGTGACATTACTTGTCCGATTGCGTGTATTTAGGGATTTCTTCAACGGAAGTTCCCTTTTGAACCATATAGTTCATCATCTCACTCAAAAGGCCGAGCCGCTGTTTACTTCATCAAGTATTACGCACATGTAATTTACCCGGATGTAATATACAAGTTTCCCGCTATTTTTCGATGACAATCCAATTTTTTTAAGATTGAGAATTTACTTACGTTTAAGATGTGACATAATGATGATAGCCTTTCAAGTGCCTAAATCGTGGACGTCCGTGCCAGTTTTGCTTGACCATTGTCCATGCGCGAATGTTTTTAACGGCAGTGACCACTCTCTCTGCTGGACATCTAGTGACCACTTACAGGAAGATGAAAACATGTTTCAAGACCACCTACAAAATAAGTACTATAATTATCACTTACGGGCTGATATCTACGTTTTACACTATAATTGTCCATCAACGGTCAGAACCTTGGACCGGTCATTTCTGGATCTTATCACCTCACTTTTTTGACACTGAATGAACTTGAGATTTTTATATCAAGGTCATATCATTAGAAAATTAAATGCCCATATATAAGAATATGAACGGCCAGTGACAGTAATTGTCGTATATTAGAAAGGAAGGACTTTGACTGACGTCTATAGTCGTGGAGGCAGGTTCCGATCTCAATTCATTCGTCTTACTGTATGACATGATCAGAAAAAAACTTTCGACACTCTAATCATCATGTCAAATCCAGTGTAGTATCATAATTCATTCACATAGATGCTGTATTCATAGCATTTTAACTTAATGACGATTTGATACCGATTTGTGTCTCAACAACTGTCACGTGACCGTGAGGTTTATAATGCATTTTTACCAATTGATTATTCTAGTACATATCCCCCCTCTTTAATTTTACTCCTGCTACTGATTATTTCTTCCTTCCTTTCTTCCTTCATTTATTCCTACCTTCTTTCCTTCCTTCATTTATTCTTCCTTCATTCCTTTATTCCTACCTTCCTTTCTTCCTTCCTTCATTTATTCCTACCTTCTTTCCTTCCTTCATTTATTCTTCCTTCATTCCTCTATTCCTACCTTCCTACCTTCCTTTCTTTCTTCCTTCATTTATTCCTTCCTTCCATCATTCATTCATTCTTTCCTTCCTTCGTTCGTTCGTTCGTTCGTTCCTTCCTTCCTTCCTTCCTTGCTTCATTGCTTCCTTCCTTCCTTCCTTCCTTCATTCATTCATTCATTCATTCATTCATTCATTCCCTCCGTCCTTCTTTCCTTCCTTTATTCCTTTCTTCCTTTCTTCCTTCATTTCTTCCTTCCTTCCTTCTTCCTTCATTTATTCCTTCATACATTCCTAGATATCAAAATATAAACGTTAAAACCTTGAATGGCGAGAGTTTCAATTTTATGCAATGTAAAAAATATTTTTGTTTCAAGATGTATCACTGAAACAATCTGAAATTCTATGTTGAGGTAAACAACAAGGAAACTGTTTTTAAAAAATATCAGATTAGTATTTAATTGTAATAGATGCATGTATTCGGAAATTCTTGTGTTGAAATTCACTCGTTGAAGCAACATGAAGTACAGAGGAGAAAAAACCCCGAATGGACATAGATTTAGAGAAGCACCCTGAAGTCCCCCTTTGTATAATTATGAAACTTTGCATGTTTGATGTCGCGTTCCTCCGGACGGACACCGTTACATATGATTAGGTAGCTACAGGATCTCAATCGGTACAGGTAAATATACGTGTGACATGCGAAGAGTTCCGAATGATGGTAAGGTCAACTAAACACCTTTGTTTGGTGTAAATAAAACGTGAAAAGTAAACAAGCGATGTAAGTTGATATGATATCTTAAATATAATGTATACACCGAAATAAATATCCAGGGAAGTGCAATATTTGGGATGAAATAGTGCAAGTGACAGGGTTTAGAAAATTTCTGGATTTTTTGTTGTTGCAAATTTGTTTAAGGGATTACGTCTGTATCAATTGAAATAATGTTATTGATCAATCAGCACAATGTATAAAATACTAGATTGATCATATAACTGGTTATCATTCTGTCAGATAATAAAATAGTAAAAATGAAGGACAGGCAGAAATGACTCTTTTTCCATTATATATCCCCGAACTACTTCCGAATCTCTTTAAATCGTTGATAATCTGTATCACAGAATCCCCATTTCTTTGCCCTCATTTGCATTACATCATATACATCTTCATGTTAATGCATAATACAGGAACCGCAGTTTTCTCACAAAGGTCAAAGTTCACCATCCCGAAATTAATTTCAGAGTTCATTGAGGTAGAACTAATATGGATTTTGAGAATATGTTGACACCCGTATTTTTGTCACTAGATTTGAATGGCGTCAATCGAAACCTTTGCCATAACGACCCGAGTTCGCTCGTTGTCGTGTCAGCACACATTACAGTTAACGTATTAGGTGTTGTTAATTACGAGCCAAACTTCGATACAAATTACACAAGTAACTGTATCCATTTTTAGGTACAATTATTTCCAGAAATACCGTGACAGTATCCATAATAGCCAGCCTTCCGAAATACGAAACCGTGGCTGAAGTTGTTACGTCACGATATTTCAATAAAATTCTTGACACTGGCAGACGTCAAATTCCTCAACTGTTTCTGCGCATGGTCAAACAAAAGAACGGATCGAATGGTTTTAATAAGTTGTGCAAAGGAGTTTTCACTGGGCATGTCTATTTTAATTGAGTTTGACGCTTTTTTGTTATTTTAATACCAGTGCATCAAGTGCATTGTACGAACATATTGATCTAGATTT